AAGTATATTTAGTCCCCGGTGTGAAGATGAAGATCGAGCTGATGTTTCTGAGATGCTCCTCTCCCTACCCGTAACCCTCCCTTCACAAGGTGCAGCCATCCGGAGGCAGCTGGCGCTTCCCCGCGGGCTGCCTGTTGCCGTTCAGCAAGGACATCGCCAGCAGCGCCCGGCTTCGGCGGTGGCGAATCCTCAGTTTTCGCTTCGGTCATCGGAGCAAATGACTTTGCTGGTTTCCTTCTTTGCTTTTGAGACTTGGGTAAGAAGTGTGGTACTGTAACATGAGAAGTGCGTCAGAGTAAGGAAATAAATCGACAGGCGATAAACGGCTCAGCAATGCCTATAGTTTGATATGAGCTGCTCAAAACGAGTTGAAGCTTTTGCAGTCTGGTTTACCTTAGAGTTGTCAGCATATTAGTAGGTATGATTTTCATTCTAAAGCTGACCTTAAATGCTTTTTTTATCTTCTTGGAGGAAGGGATAAGCTATAAAAGATAAAACTACTAATTGCGTGCACCACAGAAAATGACGCCATTTTATGGCCTATGCCTTTTCAGACATCCCTGTTGCTATCAGGACATCAATCAGAGTCTTCAAAACAGTCACTTCCTGATGGCAGCTAGTTATAAATACTTTTGTCATTTTTTTAAGAAGTAACTTTTTTTCCTAGCATTGAAGGTAATTTCACAGTCCAGACAATTGCTGGCTGTTTTGGTCATAAACTAAATTCTGTTCTCTGAACACATCCCATTCCACTGTAAATTACCTGAGTAAATGACCTGACCTAAACGGTGCAAGAAATTGGATAGACTTGCGTCATCAAGTACAAGAATACCTTCCAAGGATTTTATTCTGCAGTATATGATAAATGACAAGAGAAATTCTCATTTTACTTAGAGCGTTTGCTTGTGCAAACAAAGAAAAGTTGTTACTGCCTCCATTCACAAAAAATGTAAAAAGCCATTTTGGACACAATGGGGCAAATTAAGACTGTGAAAATAGTTGCTCACAATTACAGCATACCTTCTTAGTTCCTAATTGACAGCAAGGAGATGATAAGTACAGATCTGTAAAAACTTTTCCAGATTAATGACGTTTAGTTTGTGTAGGGGATGTAATGAATGCGGCTTTAGTATCAGTAACCCTTTGCAAATTCATTCCTGACACTTCTTACCAAGCTTAGTGCATATGCATTGGAAAGGAGTAGCAGAGGATGTGAAACCATGAAAGGAGATGGCAGCCATTAAGTAGGTTTTATTCTTTATGAAACGAGAACTCTTAATGTTCTCCGAGGAACGCTGAAAATCACTGTGCACCCATTGTGGTGCCTATGTCACTCGTATCAGTGTGTGTGTAACCTTCAATTCATGACTTTTTGCTTATCTGACACTCATAATCATCTAAACATAAATATGACTGTCATAACCACTCCAAACTCCAGTACCCAAATCCTTGCTGCAGTCCACAGATGGAGTGGATATTGACCCGGGGGAGTCCTTGCAGAAATTCCAAAGAAATTCACTTGTCTGTAAAGCACAATCATTTTTCTATGAAGGAAAAAAAATGACCTGTACAGTTACAGGTTGACTGGGTCTCTGCTACCCTGCATCCTCTGCTAAATGGCCATTGTGCTTTGGCACAGAACAAGGCCTGCTAGTTCATGGCTCTGTTGTGAAAAGCCAACTGTGCTGCCTGCCACTGGTGATGCATTTTGCATTTCTATCATCCTTCCTTTTCTGCAAGTGTGTTTCGGCACCTCAGATGTCTGTAGGCCTTTGTTGATTTGGGCTGAGATGGTAGGTTTTGTCTGGGAATATGAATAATGTATCACTCATGAATAATAAATTAATGTACAGAATATAACAATAAAGCCTTTACAGCGATACATACTATAAGGAATTCTTTTTTTTCACTGTCTTCCATTCCTCAAGCAGATGGAAAAATTGTTCAGACAGTGAGAGCAGTGGGAGGCAAGAGGTGCCGGATCCACTGACTGAATGATAAAGATGAACAGAAAATGACATGTTATTTGATTGGCCTTTGGAAGGGGATCAGAGAAGTGATAAAGCCTTTAAAAGAGCACAAAACATTTTACAGGCTGAATGACACGAAAGGTTCCAAGAAGATTTTTTGTCAGTTAGTACTTGGTTCACAGAAAGGCAGAAGATGTAGTATCATTGTGGTTAATCTGAATGATTTTTAAAACTACAGACTTGCTTCTGGAAAAACACCTTAATGTCTTGGCACCAGGAGGTGCTGGTTCATTATGATGCCAGTAAGAAAAGCACTCAGACTCTAGTAAAGTATCGCTTAAAATGATGTTTATTGGAGCTAACACTATAACAAAAAACAGGATAGTATAGATAATCTCACATCCCTCCAGATGCTGGGAGCCTCGAGTTGTGCAGCATTGGATGGGGCTCCAACGAAGCACACCGTACAGATCCCATCGGTGGAAAGGTTACCCAGCGCTGCGGTCTTTTGAGCTTTTATAGGATTTTCTTACAAGACAACATTTCTATTCATCATTTCTACTGTCAAACAAAAAGGACGTTCACATGAGAACTTGTTGCTGCACTCTTAGATAAAAGCAAGGCCACGCAGGTGGTGTAATCGCCGCTACCGAGTGGGAGCTGACGACAGGCTCCTCGTTACAATTAGCTGGCTGAGTTCAGCCTGTGGCCAAGGGCTGTGTGCAGCACAGCATGGCCTGAAGGCCAGGCTGTATGTGCAGCACCGTACAGCACAGCACGGGCTTGGGCCAACCCAGGTCAGCTGTTCCGTGGATCACTAACTCCTCGATGTACAATGATCTTCCGGTCAGGATGACTAACTTCCACCCCTTGATCCACATACAGTTGACCTTTCCTACAGATACCGTAAGTTGCAGATTATACCAGTAAGTTTTTTTGGCTACTAGAAAGATTATTTTACAAAAAAACAATTACTAAAATTAATAATACAAGAGTAATAAATATTGATTGTGAGAATAAGTGTAGGATAGCAGTCACCTTGGAGCTAGGACCATCAGAGATGTTGTGCCATCAGGTTCCACCCCTAGTCCCACATACCCTAAGGTTTGGTGGTTTCACCAAACAGTCCAGTTATGTGATGTCGTAGATGAAGAGGAGCTTTGGTGCTGCTGGAGGGCAGAGATGTCCGGCACTTCATGTTCACTGATATACAGCATGCAGAGATCAAAAGCAATACTGTGAGTCTCCACATAGCAGTTCTGCATGAGATAAAACAAAGACTTATTTTACATACAGCATAAGTTCAGACATGTAATGAGGGGTGTCTGCTTGCTCCTTTAGGATTAAGTACGTGGCTTCTGGTCCATGTGTCCCATCTGCAGGGATGAGTGTCCCTTGAAGAGTCTCGTGTTTGCATTTACCTCTGATTTTTGAGGGGTCATTGGGCTCTGTCAGCATCCTGGACTGTACCTCATAGTGCTGATGTCCCAGCAGAAGATGCTAGGAAAGGAGGTATAGCCTTGGAAGCATGCTTTACTATTCAAATTCTTTACAACCTGTAATAGCACAGTTGGCCAGTTATGAAGAGTGCGAGAGGGGAGCTGTGCATGCATCTACTCTTTTAATAAGGCATTGGTCTGTTCCATTAAATCCTCTCCTCTGGGGTGATAGGTATATGATGTACCCTGTGTCCTTTGTGCTCGGCTGCCCACTGTTGGGCCATTTGGCCTCTAAAATGAGACCCATTGTCTGGCTGGATGCAGGCAGGTGGGCCTATCCACTGGATAAGTAACCACAGGCCTTTCAGTGTTCCTCTCTGGTCCCTCTGTGGTCCCTCTCTTCCTCAACACCTTGGTGACATGAGCATCAACTTGTCAAGCCCACAGGTTTGAATTCCCGTATTTTTTTTGCCTTGTGCTTCCATGAGTCCTGACTCCACAATGGTACTGTCCAGTTGTCCACTTGTCACTTACTAACCCCTATGGCTCATCCCTTATGCACTGCCCATCATTCTGCACTTGTATTGCCTCCCCTTCCCTCTTTGCCACAAACTCCAAGGTGCTGTATCATCACCTGATACTAAGACTTACAAAGTTTTGTGAGGTTGACTGGGACCTAACATAACAACATGGGAGACAGCATGTTTAGCCTGTTCAAAAGTGGCTTTTTCATCATCTCCCCATACAAACTGGGTTTTCTGTTTTGTTAAATTATTTGGGGTGTTTTGCCCGAGGAGAATGGTGATTTTGGATCCCAACATGAAAGGCACTAACACTCTCAGGAAGAATTAATATCCCAGAAAAGGCAATAGCAAGTTATAAAATCTTATGTTCTGTCTGATGCTGGGGACCCTGAGCTGGTACAACATCAGATGGACATCTGACCACAGCACTACATATATATATTTACACATATATTTATGGAGAGACAAAAATATATATATATATATATAAAGGAGTGTAAAAACGTGTCTGTATTTTTTATTTATACCTAGATACAGTTTATATATGTATATTCATATAAGTATGTATATATACATACATAAAGATATATAACATACATTCAATATATATATCCATAAAAGTGTTGGTATAAAACATGCTTTAATAAGAGCTAATGAAATGAATAGTTGACATTTGGGTTCTGTAGTGAAGCCATTACTGTACTTCGGGTAGCACCTCATGGAGACAATTAGCAATTACACCTCTTCCTCTGAGAGGTTTTTTATGGAGGAAATACACAATGGCACCTTCATTGCTTTCTTCTGTGATGTCTCCTCCTTCATTACAACAACTTTTCAGTATCTTGAACATCCTTGGGTAGTTAAGATATATCTGTTGGTAGTTCTTGGGAATATTGTTTCAGTTTTGTCTAAGGTTAATAAGCAGTTTAAGAATATCATCCAGAGATCTGCTCCAAGGCTGGATAGTTATGAGTGGCAGGGTGTGTGGGAGAGAATGGGCAAGTACCTAGGACAGCGGGCACCTCCAATGTTTTGGAACTTCACCCCTGAACAAGTGCAGAATCCTGAAAAACTAGTAAAGTATTTGGAAAAAGTATG